TAACTTCCTCAAGTAGATCAGCCCAAAGGTAATGATAGCAGATAAACACATCCATTAAAAATCGCTTTATTATTATTTCTTTTCGGATTGGCCTGAAAACCTCCATGGATTCAAAACATTTTGGCAGCATTATCGTAACCTTGAGCTCTGAGTCGTCATTATGTCTAGTCCATCACGTTCTAGATTTGTAAGAATGTTAGAACTGAGGTCATCAGCTTTTTCCCTCTTAACGGGAAAAATGTAAGAAACACTTCTCTCACTTCAACTTTCCCATTGTGGATTTTCCCATATCTGATCACTTTAGACATCTAGTCACTGTGTGATATATCAGGTTTGAACATAATTTCAAAATACCTCACAGCTTTTATATCCATGATAGAATCTCCTTCACATGATTTGTAAGGACATTTATAAATTCATTTTGGATTTCTGGTGAAAGGTAAAATGCGGCTGCTTTTTCTGTAGATGAACTCCTTTTTAGTCTCATTTTTTGCTATTTTAGCACTGGGTCATTTTTAGATAGTATCTCAACTATTTCTAGAAAGTTTCAGTGAAGATTCATCTTCGTTGTGGCCACGAAATGCCAGATTTTGCTTTGCAAGAAACAATGTGACATCCAGCAAATATCAAGGGGCGATACTAGTGACGAATCGGGGAAAATATTAATTTTTAAATATTTCTAGGTTTCGATTTATAATATAATATATGTCTTCAAAAAACTTTTTAAAATTTAAATTTAAATAAATAAGAATTAATCATTAAAAGATTGAAAATCGTGTAAAAATAATATAATTTTTAACCCTATAAATGGGTAAAAAATCATTTTCAATGTGTTTTCTTTTTACCGACATGATCGTATTTGGTATCAATGTAAAGCCCAATTTCTCAGAATTCAGATAAATATAGCATCCTGTCGCTTACGCAAGTTACTGAACATTTCAATCGTAGTGGAATAATGACTGTGTTTCTGACCTAAACACAGGGTCATCTCATTTCTGACGCATGAACCTTGAACTTTTAATAAAGCACGCATTAATTTTGGATTGTTTACATTTGTAAAAAAAAATGTATGCCTGATCTGTTATCCTTTTATGTTTCTAGGTTAGGCCGAGCTCTGTAAATATGCAATTTTTCAATCGGGTGTCACCCGGTGCGGTCCGCACCCCCCGCACCCCCCTCGCTACGCCACTGATTCAGTGTTTTATCATTTTCTACCCTGTCTTCATTGCTCAATAACTGCTATACAACATTTATACAACATTTGCAATTCTTAAAACTTATTTTTAAAACTAGTATAATTATTCCAATAGGACAGGCCTGCACAACTCAAAATTTAAGGCGGGCCGTAATACTTTATGAAAAACTTGTGCGGGCCAAAAGAAAATAGGAATGGACTAGTGCGGGCCAAAAGAAAATAGGACAGGGAAAAGCTTTAAGAAAATAATAAAAATACATAATATTTCGTTACCTCGCGGGCCACAAAATGGGAGCTGGTGGGCTACATGCGGGCCGCGGCCCGTATGTTGTGCAGGCCTGCAATAGGATATTGAATCGTATAATGACTTTGATTTCGCAACTTGAAGTTAATTCAAATAACTTTTACATTGAGGTACCTCCCCGTCCTGTAGACAAATATTTTCATTCGAAAAAAAAACAACAACAACAACAGTTCTCTAGCACACACTCATTGATATGAAAACAATAATTTTCCCATTGATAATGAACATACCACAAACGCACCTTGCACCATTATAAAAATGCTAATTACATACGTTGGTCCGTATTTGATATTTCTTTCCAAGGCAAATGAATCTCCCCATCTCCATACCAACTCACCAACACCCATTCATTCACTGTGTCGTCATATCGCATGTCCTTGGAGGGTAAGGGGGGGGGGGCGCATTTCAGAATTTCAGTGGTGGCAGTGGCCAGAGGCGTAGCTAAAGGGTGGTAGGTGGAACAGACGTCCTTGGGCACCAGATTAGCGGGAGCGTTAAAATGGGCTTTAATTGTATTTAAGGTTTGAAAATAATGAGAACAGAGTTGAGGGGTGAAGGCTTAAAAATGAAAATGAATCTTGTCCCATGAAGCCAAAAATCCAGTGGCGTAGAAAGAGATGGATTAGGTAGTTCACCCAGGTGTCACTTTTTCTTTATATAGAGTTGCGGTATTTACGGACAACTGCAGAGTTTGTATCTTGAAAGGAAGAGCGGAAAAATCTTTTTTGGCCCATCTCGGCACTAATATTAGCTACGCCACTAGACCGTGTATCTATCGACACCCAAATTGGCGATTATTTTCAGTGGGAAGAAGGGCAGAAATCGATGTCGCCGATGAATTTTGAGCTGAGGAGGGGTCTGGAGATCCCTCTTCGAGGAATTTTTTTTTGTTCAAAATCTAGAGGTGCATTCTCGAGTTTACCTGAATATAATGTTTATATTAGACTTTTTAACTTAATTTATTAATGGTATGAGGGAGGTATTATGGCACCCAGTACATGAAATGAATTCACTCGGGTTGTGGCGTGCCCAAATGTAATCATTTGGCACAAGCTTATATTCAAACCCATATTGTAACATTAATAAGAGTGAAGGAAATGGTGCAGAAATTGATGGTGCTGAAGACATTCGGTCAAACTCAAAATACAGAGGTGCGTTTTGGCGCATACTTGAATTCAGTGTTTCTTTCAGACAATTTTGAGGGGGCATTTCATACTTTCGGTTGGGAAGCGCCAAAATTAGCCATAATAATGATCTAATACATCTGTAACTCCACAAAAGCGGGACATGAACTAAATTCATCCCAGTTGAGAGCATGCTTTTGCACTAGCTTATTCTCATCCCTTAAACCTTTATAGCCCCCAGAAATTGATTTAATAAATTCAAAATACAACAATGTGTTTTAGCACATACCTTAATTTAGTTTTGCAACATTGTACACTTAGTTGAAGAGCAACGGAAGAGAAGCTAGTTGTTTTTTTTTAAATGGGTGTTACCTAACGTCAGAACCATCATGTTAGCCCAGAAACCCCTACGACTGCAGGGGGGCCTCTGATTTGTAAGGGTTTAAAGATGTGATGTGTAACTTTCTTATATCGTCTTTCAATGCAAGGTGAGTGGGGAAGGAAAACACGACCGAAAAGTGGCAGGGGGCCTCAAAAAGTCAAGTGACTTGGTTGTGTTATGCAAATATTTTTTTTCTATTACTTATTTTTCTAAAACTATTTTGGAGAGTAGCTAGTTGATTAATATTTGATTTTTTAAACAAATAGTAAATAAATTATTTTTTTAATTAAAAAAGGGTTTCCATCATAAAAAGCACAGATAGCATCATTTTTTAAGTTGAACGCAAATTTAAAAATGTATTTAAAAAAAAAATAAATTACCTATAATAATTATCTTTCCTAAATGTTTCCAAGTTTTACCAGTCAAAAAAAAAAACTATTAGAAAGGTCTATATATTTTTATGTTTTTTTCCAAACTGGTCTTATATATATATATATATATATATATATATATATATATATATATATATATATATATATATATAAATTGCACATGAACGGCATAATTATGTTAAGAAGACATGAGTTGTTTAAAAAAGACATTTATTTTATATTTATTAAAATCGTGTTGTTGTTTTTTTTAACTAGATTATCTGGAAA